TATTTGATATTTAAGAATAATTTCAAATCATCTGCAAACATTAGAAAACTGACAGACTTAAAACAGTATATAATATCATTCACGTATATATTGAAAGAAAAGAGGACCCAGATGGGAACATTGAGTTACTCCAGATGGCACATTATTCTCGTATGATTGAAAGCTTTGTATACGCACTATTTCTTTTCGGTCAGTGAGGTAAGACTTCTGCCATGATAAAAGATCCCCGCAAATTCCTAGACAATGTAACTTATTAATCAAGATCTCATAGTTGACCTTATCGAATGCTTTAGAAAATCTGTATAAACTACGTGAACAGAATATCCTTCCTCCAAGGATTCCAAAGCATAGTTTGTGAATATTCAAAGATTTAACTCTGTGGAGCTTTTTGAAAGAAATCCAAACTGTTGGCTTATCTCTAGTTTTCAGTATTGGAGTAATGAAGGTTGGTTTTCCAACATTCCGCAAAAGTTCCACTTTTCAACGAAAGATTAAAAATATAAAACAGAGGTCTAGAAATCAGAAAGCTACAATGTTTAATCGATAACGGAGGTACACCATCAGGTCCAGGTCCTTTATTGGCGTCTAGTTTTTCATAGATGGCGAGATTGGAATTTCATAGTTAAACAAATTGATGACCCTATAAGACTACTATTCTGAACAGTACTATTGTCTACACTGTAAGTTTTAGAGAAGTAATCTGCAAACAAATTGGTAATTTGTAAAAAAGAATAACTACTGACATTATTATAATGTACTTCTAAAGGTATGCAATGATAATCCTTACGGCTATTAAAAATTTCCTAAATTTTTTCACGTTTTCTCTAAGAGAAGATTCAGTTGTATTGACATAATCCAGATAGCACTGTTTTTTGTTTAGATTTTTACATTTAGCTCTGAGAGTAGAAACTCATGATAATCATTTAGCAAGTGACATTTGATGTACTTCTTGTGTAGTTTCTTTTTTCAATTATCATTTGTTCAAGTTCTGGAGAAAACCAAATGGGGAATTTCTTTGTAGAGTACTTCTTCAAAGGAACAAAAATATCAATTGTTAGATATATTACACCATAAAACATATTAAGCATATCACCAACTGATTTATTCATCAGCAGTATGTCCCAATTAAAACTGGAGAGAAATGCTATCACTTCCTGCACATTTGTGGATTTAAAATCCCTGTAAAGATCACTACCCCAGAGTTATTAAGGCAAGTTTCACAATTTAGCTCAAAATACAGTGGTTATTCCGTCTTCCAATACGAGCTGAACACACAATATGAACTACAGATCCTACGAGGCGAGAGAATATATCCTTAACTTTATCCAAATCTTGTTCGTCATTGATTTGTGGAAAATTAAAAAGCATTAAATTACAACCTCGTTTTTGCCTCTCAGATACCTCCTGCAACAGATTACCATAAATCACTGCTGCACTGAACCTGGATTGATTTTGGTTAGCTGTTATAGACGTGGAACTTTTTATTAGAGCAAGATCTTTTTTGATATCTTCAAACAATGATAAAAATCCAGTTCTCATACTTTTAACCTTATTAGATATCTCACGAATCTGAGTTTCAAGTTCTTCAATCTGTGTTAATTAGCAACTTTAACTTCGCTTGGGGAGTCCTCTAATGCTCTTATTCAAGGTCAAGGCTGTTTTGATTGCTAGAGCACAATCCTCGCATAAATATAGAATAACACGGGTAGATAAAATAAGATACCGGATCTCAGTAGAACTTATGCCGGCACAGTTTCTACATAACATTTTTTTGCATAAGTCACATGGGTAGCCAAAAACTTCAGCACTTATTTTCGGTTCCTTAAAAGTACACTTAACGGCACACTTGTTGCACACGCCAGCCATTCTGAGGTTCGGTTTCAATACTTTTGTAAGATTAGTGCTCTTATTTCTGTCATGCTATGTTGCCTACAATCTTTGCAAATAATTTTGTGACAGCAATCATATGGAAACCCAATCACGTCTTCTGTACTAGGTTTTTCTTTAGGAGCACACTTGCTCCCACAAATATCGTTTTTGTCCAAGCCCGGTCCTGGATCTAAATTCGTTTTCTGTTGCTGGTCTTGAATTTGTTCAGGTAAGCCAGACCAGTTTTTTTCACAAGAAAATGTAATAAAATATGTTGAACTGTTAAAATCCTTTCTGTTAAAAAATGAGTAGGCTTTTGAAAATTCAATACAATTTTGCTTTTTAAAGAAGCCCAATCTTTGACTGAATAAATAATTGCATTTCGTCTGCGAAACCAACTGTTGTTCAACTTAAAAGGGTCAATAATATACAAATTAAACAGGATTGGTCCTAGTACGGTTCCTTGTGGAATTCCGCATCTACCTGCCATATTTTCACTTAGTGTAATGTTAGTGTCACATTGTATCCTGTCTTCCAAATAACTGTTCGTCTCATCTACGTAAATAATTTACTGTGATATTATAACAGTTAAGTTCAAAAGTATACATAAATTTACCTACGGTACAAAGGATCTACGCTTTGGGGATAATTTCAAGAAAAAGTTAAAAGAATGGATTTTTTCTTTGGCAAAACCATGCGTATGCAAATTAATAGTAAATGTGATCAAACAGTTCGTTGATTAATTGTATCTCTATTCATATTTCAATAATATGTACAGTTGTAACATCGGTGACCCATGTACACGCATTGCCTCCTATGGGCCGTTACTTCATATTTATTAACTCATCCTTCGCATTGTGTTTCAGGAGTAAATATACTAAGTGACATATAAATCCAAACACCCAGTTTAAATGGTTTTATTTTAATAAAATTTTGTATAAGTACTTAATGAAGCATTATAAGTAAATGATTGCACTGCTTTAAAGCCCTTTGACCTTTAATAATGTGTGGATGCACCCTGATGTGCTACGCATTCTCCAACGCGCCTAGGCATGCTTCTGATCAGGTGGTCAATGTCCTCCTGTGGTATCTCATTCCAGGCAACCACCAACTCCTCTCGAAGTGCTTCTAGAGTCTGAGGAGGACGTTGCAAATTGAGCAATCTCCTACCCATCATATCCCACACGTGCTCAATTGGGGATACGTCGGGAGATCTTGGTGGCCATGGTGACAATGTGACATCATTATGTTGAAAGAAGTCTATTGTGACTCTTGCAACATGTGGTCGGGCATTATCTTGTTGGAAAGTTGGATCTGCCAGGGTGTCAAGATAGGGTAAAAGATGGGGTCCTAGAACTTCGTGGATATAACGCTGCGCGGTCATGTTACCTCTGATGAAGATTAAAGGTGACCTGGAACCATAAGCTATAGCACCCCAAACCATAACTCCAACAGTGTGATGAACATGTCTTTCAACAAAAAACTGTGGATTCCTCCTTTCACCACGTCGCCTTCTAACTCTGGCACGACCATCGTACATGCCTAAACAAAATCGAGACTCGTCACTAAAGACAATACTGTGCTATTCCTGATCCCAGAGTGACCATTGTCTGCACCACTCAAGGCGATTACGTCGGTGTTCTCGAGTTAAAGGGAGGACCCAGTGTGGCCGGTATGAAAACAAGCCAAAACTTCTCATTCGTCGGTAAACACTTCGCATGCCAATAAGTCTTCCATGTTCTGCAAACCATTCGTTTGGTAGTGGAGAAACGGTCCCTTAAGGCCAATAATCTTAAGCGGCCTGTTGTTCTACGGCGGCGTCGAGTGCCCCTTGCTCTTTGCGTACGGCCTTCTCAAACAACACCTAACCACAGTGTCTACACTTCTTTGCACTCTAACTGCAATTGCCCGAAAAGAAAGTCCAGCTTCCCGAAGTCCCACTATACGGCCCCTATCAAACTCACTAAGTTGACGAAATCGTACAGGTCTCCGTACTCTAGGCATCGTAACCGATCGTAAAGGATGTCAAGAACCAAAATCCGCCAACGTTGATTCTTTACTGCGGCTGAAATATTCATTTTTAGAGCGTTAGTGAATTAAAAAGAAGCAGTATAAAAAACGGAATGTCCAACTGATAAGGCTGAAAACTTTTTCACTTGTTATTTACAGTAAGATAAATGCATTCACCAACTTTTATTATAATAAAACCATTTAAACTGGGTGTTCGGATTTATATGTCACTTAGTATAAATATTATTATTATTTAAATTCTGCCCACAAAAACCTCATGCCCCTATTGTCATCTGATATCGTTTTTTTTTTTCATTGATAGCTTTTACGGAAAATTATAATTTACAGACGACACAAAACGAACACAAAAGGCACAAGTTAAAACCAAACACGACCGGTTATGATTAGTAAATTGGTTAAAATTGCTTACTGTTAGTTGACATTTTCACGCAACACAAACAGCTTCCCCGTCATTGAAGTGCACCTCAATGTATCATTTTTATCTCCTACTAACCATCAGCATTAATTACAGCAGCATCGTTAAAATGAGAAAAGCTCAATTAAAGGCATTCCACCTAAAGCAGCAAATAAAGCGAGGCGCATCAAAATGAAAGATAGTGAAGATACCTACATAAATAACCATAACTTTCATCGCGCACAAGATGCTCGCAGTTGCGGCTGTTGTAAATAAACTCTACTCGTAGCAAGTGGGTCAAGCTCAAGGTTCCATTGTCTGAGCCAAGCTGAACATTATCGGACTGTCAGGTGGTCTATGCGGTTGCTAGTTATCGTAAATGCAAGTGTTCATAGTCTAGTACTCAGGTTCTATAAAGCGGAACAAAGAATACTTTGAGAAAGATCTCTGATATAAAAAACATCCACCCTTTACCTCATAAGTTAAAAGACTTTGAAGTTAGTACGCTAGCTGAGCATTAAAATACGAAATATCAACCAAATACTACTACCCGTCGTTGCTTCTCAAGCTAGCTAGCCTTTAGGTCACAGTCACTGTAACGTCAGTAGCTGTCGTCAGTCTGTCAGGTCTGGTGGCTCAAAAAACAGACAAGTTCTAGGGAAAAGAGGAGAGGGAGAAAGAAAGGAAGGAAGTAGGAGCGAGAAGGGAAAGAAAATGAATTGTTTTATGTCAAAACTCTTTTCCTTCGTTTATCGGGCAGTGAATTTATCTGGCCAAAATGACTGAAGGTACGGCTACCATCAGGACGAGGAAGTTCATGACCAACAGACTGTTGGCTCGGAAACAAATGGTAGTAGATGTCTTGCACCCAGGACAGCCCTCTGTTAAAAAAACAGACATTAGGGAAAAACTAGCCAAGATGTACAAGGTAACCCCAGATGTAGTTTTCGTATTTGGATTCCGTACGAACTTTGGTGGTGGCAAATCTACAGGCTTTGGCCTAATCTACGACACCTTAGATTTTGCCAAAAAATTTGAGCCTAAACACAGGCTGGCTAGGCATGGACTATATGAGAAGAAACAGCAGACACGTAAGCAGCGTAAAGAAAGGAAGAATAGGATGAAGAAAGTAAGGGGTACAAAGAAGGCCAAAGTTGGTGCTGCTTCCAAAAAGTAAGAAGATATGAACTTGGCAAGCTTTCCTGCATTGTATGGCCCATATCCACAATCCATGGAGATTCTACATATGTGTTGTACAATTCAAAAGCTGTTGTTATTAAACCAACACCTTTTTACATAAAATATATTTATAAGTAAGTAAAAGAATATTTGAGGTGTGATAGATCTAAGAATTGTTACAGTGTACTATATATTTTTTTAGACTTGTCCTGAACTGAATTTTGGGTCTTTAATTTAATTTTGGCCACAGGGTGAGCCGCGGCCTGGAATGTTTGCATATTCAACCAAATGTTACATTATCTAGAAGGAGACTTTTGAAAAGTCACCGCATAAGCGAACAAGTAAACTCATCGATCGTCAGTCACTATTATAAGCTCTCTTTTACAACATGTCATGAATGGATCGGAAGAAGATCGAAATTTTCGAAAGAAGCTCTACATAATATTAAAGCCACGAGATTGCAATTTGTATTGCAGAGTTTATTCAATTACACAGATAAATCTAAAAATCTATGATGTAAACGCAACAAGTTACACGTTTCTAAGCTGCAAATATTTGGAAACGCTTTAACTGAGATTGATGGGTTTTTCTAGCTTAAATGTCAAATTCCACCGTATCATTGAGCCCTCTGAATACCCCACCATTCTCTAATCAACACTTTACAGTGGCCTCCTTTTGATAAAACAACAACAATCAAAGATAGCATTGTAGGCAACCCGACAAGCAAGAGGTTGTATAACTTGTTGCCTGGATATGATCCTGGTTAATTAAATAGTAATAGCAGCTACTACAGAAATACGAATAATTCATACTACTAATTACTAATATTGAATTCCATGAGTCGTCATGGTGCTTGATCGGTTAGAACTGTTACTTCAGCAGTAATCTGAGACGTCTGGTAAAACATGAAATATATTCTTCACAGTTGAAAATTATAAACAGGTCAAAAACAGGCTGTTGAAAAAGATAACGACAAATACTGTTAGTTGCAAAAGCTGGAAGATGCAAAAATTAGCTAAATTTCGTAACAATGGGCGATACATTGAGGCTAGTGGTAAGAGATTAAAATAATATTAAAATGAAACTGTAAGATAACTACAAGCTTGAATTTAAAAACATTATTTTTTATCTTTGTCGGCTTCTAGTCGATTTAATATTTCCGGTAAAACATTCCCAACTCTCGAAAAGAGCCATAAAACCGGTATAAGACACAAGCAACCTCAAATAATCTGGGATACATTTTTCTTTTTCTGCCACCTCTCTTAGGGTCCTCTGCGGATTGTTAAAATATTTGTCCTGTGACCGGATTTTGAACTCGAAAAGGTCGTTTTACCTCAAGGTCAAAGTCGTCTCAAGGATTTGAGTCTCTTTTCTTCTTCTTCGGTTCATTTTCCTTTTGGCTTTCGTCAGCGATATTAAAAAAAGGAGACATCTGGGAACCATAAGCAAAGGCATGCATTAAATATCAAAGATATTCTGAACTTCCGAAGCTGTTATAAATCCAAATACTAACCGCGCCCAGCGCTGCTTAGCCTCAGCGATCCGATAAAAGGCAATCTTTTCACTGACATCATAACGGGCTATGTGATATTCATGCGTATAATAGTTCGTTCTTGAACTATTTCCTTCAACTTTTTCGTTTAAGTGAACGCGACATATTGAATTATTCATGGAAAACACATCACTAGTCAGCAGCTCGCATTTGGCAGCCCCAGTCACCACTGTGACCGCTGGAGGCTCACGATTCTGGTAGTGCAGTAAATGTGGCTTATGTGCCATTGCACAACTAAACATACTGCTTTCGTCTATCCAATCACAGACAGCAGACGCACAGACCTTATTGGCGTACTTTAGGGGAAGCATCCTTGTACGTATTGCCCTAACAAACATTGAAACAGTCATTTTGTCTAAGCTCTTTACATGATTGTTGCCTTGCCTTCTCATGTAAGAGCCAGAGGTTAAAATAGTAACAAGGATAAGTATCACATTTCGAATGGTTTGACATCCGATTGTGAACTCCTTCAACTCCTATGCATTGTCAAAAGTCTAGTTTCAACCGCTTTCAAATTTCATTCTGTTAGAACACATTTCCTTGCCAAAATACGTAGGAGTTGGTGTCAACAACACGGCTAGTTTGGGACGATGTTCCCCAGGGCTCGGTTCTAGGAGCTATAATTTATTCGCTTATTATCCATGATTTCCCTTGTCCCTGCAACTGTGAAGTCTACCTCTATGCTGACGACACTGTCGCCCGGTCGTGTACTGGTGATCTGGTGCACGATAGGTTGCAGAGTGCGGTGGACGAAGTACTCGAGTGGGCTGAACGGTGGTTGATTAAAACTAATCATTCAAAAACGCAGGCTATTTATTGTACGAAAAAAACATCGCGAACCCCCAGCGGAGGTTTCTATAGACGGCAATCGTGTACCATGGACAAATTCTGTCAAGTACCTCGGAGTCACCCTTGATAAAGGCATGACCTGGCAGGAACATACAGCAGCCTTGAAAACAAAATTCTAAATTGCGTTTCGCACTACTATATCCTTTGCTATGGTAGAACCTCCAAATTGAGTTTGATAAACAAAGTTCGCCTATATATAATGATTGTTAGACCAGCCATTACGTATGCATGTGCGGCTTGGTGTTTCCTTGCCAGTAAACTGTAGTACTGCAAAGTAGAACTTTGCGAACAAACGAGACGCTACTCAGAGACCATGACATTCCTTACTTGAGGGATTATGTCAAGCTTCAGGCACAGCGACGTTATAGTCAAGCGGAATCGCACAGCAACCCTATGTTTTAGAAAACTTAAAATTACACTCTAACAAAACCGAATCAGAATTTGGTTAGTTCACCTCAAAATTAATCCGTGTACCAAGTCAAAAAACCTAGGCGTCTCATCTTAAACTAACACTTCTGTTTTTCTTTGCTCTTCTTCTCTTTCCTTTTTTTTTCTTGACATTGTTTGATTTCTGGGCAACCAGGACTGGCAGTTTCGACTACCGCACATTAGACAGTGACTAATGGGCAAAGGTCCTACCGACCACCCAGACAAACAAATGACAAGTAGTACGTAGGAGTTCGTAGTAACATCATCACATCTGACATTAAGATGAAAATCTGTTTCTTTCCTCATTGTGTTAGGCCATTGAATTACAGTCCTAGATACATGTATAGCGCTTAAAAACTTGATCAAACGTCTTATCACGTAGAATAAACAACTAATCGTTATATCAAATATATCTATTATAATTGATTAGTACTATTATTATTATTATTATTATTATTATTATTATTATTATTATTATTATCTGCTACATCACGAAATGGTGATGTTTTATGCCCTGTGGACCACAAAAAAGATGAGTGTTTTCTCATGAGCGAAAAGTTCCCCATTGCCTTCAGTCGTCTTTTTGAAGAATATGCTGTGTTCGTATTTAGTTGAGACATAATTGGTATATTTATGTAATTTTTTTGTTCTTTTCAATTATGAAGCAGTATGTACAGAATGTTTTCGTCATCACGTGCGATATCTGAGATCCAATCGGATTCTGAACTTGAACTATAAGAATCTGAAATTTCTGTGAGCAATACAAACAGGTATAAACAATAAAAAAAACTAACGTATGTCCTAACAGTTTTGGCAGAAAATGCATTGGCTTTAATTTTAACAACCACAAAATAATACCAACTTGCCTTTGGAAAAAAGTTTGCTTACTTACTGTCAGTTGGCATTTATTTATTTTGAAGTTTTCGCTTCAAGGGCCAGACCTAGCATCATGCCGTGACTCAAAAGTTTGGCTTCAACAACACAACATACCTTTTGTTTCCAAAAACGACAATAGATGATTTTTGGGCTTTGCTGTCTAAGAAGGTTTAACAAGCAGGCTGGAAAATTGATCTGAATTCCGTCCAGGACCTCATGAGAGACGTTCGAAGAAAGTTGCGCCTGGTAGAGCAGAATGAATTAAATAAATTGCTTCGTTAAAAAAAATCCGATAAATGTTTGGTGCCAAAACCTTTAGGACATACACTCCAAAATTTATAAAAACATTTGTCTGGATTTAACTTTTTCAATTGATACATATACAGTGGACCTCCGGTAATCCGACAAACATTATGCAGGGCAGTGTCGGACTATCGAATTTGTCGGATTATAGAGCACTGCCTAAGACCCCTTATAGTCCGGAATTTTTTACAAAAGAGTACCTTGTTATCCGACAAATTACATATCCAATGGTAAGATTATATATGTTATGTATATGTATGTAATTTGAAATACAAATCATACATAGTTTATGTATGTCGAATTTAGTAAATTAAATAACACTAGAGAGCTTACGTTTTATTATAAAATTAACCATATGTACCAAAATAATCAAGAATTATTAATCAAAATCATTAATGAATTTATCAAATTAAGAAGCTTGGAAATATTCATCAATTTTTGTTTTGTTTAAGGTTGTTATAACGCGAGATCAGAGCTTTGTCCCTCAGTCTTCTCAAAAGTAAAAGTTCGTTGTAGGACGTAATATTCTCTTCAGCCCATTGTCAACCTAGCTCAAAGGCATTAATTGCGTCTTGTGCTGTGACTTGTGGAGCAGTTGCAGTCACGTCGTCGTTATTTTCCTGATTGTTTGTTGTATAATTAGAAAACTCTTTTATAACCTCTTCGTCAGACATTTCATGAAAAACATTTTCTTCTTCATCCATTCCACGGCACCAGATTTCCAAATCTTCCGGACTTATCTGTGTTTCAGTAGCAACTTGTACTATAACTTCCGAAGTAACACTAATTTGTGGAACGTTGCTAGGAGTGGTGACTATATCTGGCCATAACTTTTTCCAAGACGATTTAATAGTTGATGTCGGTAACGCACACCACGACTGACAAAGAGCAAAAACCAAGTCTTTCATATTAAATTGTTTTAAAGTTTTTTCTATTGGTTGGTCTTTTGATACGGCTCTCAGAAGTATGTTTTTCTTATAGTCTTGCTTGACAAACTGAATGATATTCTGGTCCATTGGTTGAATCAGTGCAGTGCAATTTGGTGGAAGAAACATCGCAGTGATGCATTTATCCTCAGTTGTTAGTTTTTCTTCAGACGGATGACCTAGAAGCAACAACGATTTTTGAGG